ATAAACTTTGCCAATTCAGCTGGGACTCTGAGGCAAACACTTCATTTCAGTTTTGATAAAACATAAAAGGGAAGTGTTAGTGACTGTTTCCTTTTTTGAAAATCATCCCAATAAAATTCAAGTCTTAGAAAGAACTAATTCCTTCCGCAAGCTGCAGTGTTAGAATCGAAATAGGTAACAGATTGAGAGAGACGAAAAGTGGTCAGTGAACTTCATAATGGGGAGGTAAATAGGAATTGGATGGAGCAACTATGCACAACACCCTGTTCCAGTCTGTTAATCAAATGGGACTACTTAATTTCTAAACTTTCACAACTGTTTCTTCTCAACAAATCCTCAGCTCTTATTGATTCAGGGCAGAGTCTTTGGTACTTCACCTTCTGCGAACTATGGGTTTCTGGTTTGGTTTTGTTGTTTATCACTTCTCTAACTCTGGAATGTCTTTTGGGGCAAAAAACCCCTCTGGTTTACCCCATTTCCATTTCATTCTCCTCCTGCTCTGGTCATGAGCTTTATTACTAAACTCTAGAAAATCTACTATGCAAAATACAGTTTTACATTTGCCCTTTGGGGTAACTAGACAACCTGAGCACTTCAGGCTTTAGTATTTTCAGATTGTTTTCCATCTCCACTGTTAATGTACATCAGTGGGTTTTGTATCCGGATTACTCACAAGACCCAAGAAGTGATGGACAGTAAAGGCCCTTGGGACTTTCTGTGTACCATAGTAACAAACAGGAGTTGCCATGAAACCAATCTCTCTAACAATAAATGTATGCCTTGCTCTATGCAGCATCACTTGCTACCCAGACATTAAAAACATCAGCATGTTTTTTTTAAGTCTCTTTTGAATGAATATTTCATTCTGAAGCAAAATTATACCAAGTTAATTACATACACTAGCTAACATCTGACGGCTTAGAACAGAAAGCCTTCCTGCAAATGTCAGCACCACTTGAATTGCAAGCTGATGCTCTGCAGTTTGGGAATCTGGCATTAATCTCCAAATACATTTCCAGTGGATTGGGTTACTTGGCTTTGCTACTGGCAGAGATGGACTTCCACAGAAACTGGCCCACAGTTTTCAGAGAGATGAGCCTTAGGGTCCATCTTAACCATAAAATGGAAGCAGTGAATCTCTGCAAGTTGCTGCCAGGCCCCTGCTGCCACTCAGAGCCCAGATGCAACTGCCAGGATCAGACAGTTGCTGCAAGAGACAACACACCCCCACAGGAAAGGTCCGGGACGTTGTACGTGCTGCTATGCTCATTTTGGTACAAAACAGCACTTAAAACCAGTGCTAAGCTGCGTAAGATGAAATTCTACGGCCCATGTTGTGCAAGCAGAGTAAGAGAGCCACAGCCATCCCCTCCCAGCGCCAAGCCTCTTACCCACGGACTTCACTGGAAGACAGGCAACTCCAGACAATTACAGAAAGGAAGAACAGATACAGAAAGTACAGCCAGGCAGGGCCAGGATGACAACGTCAGGGTCTTGTTCCCGGTGGCATGCGCGGCCTATGAGAACAAATTATGTCACGTTACTGAGCTACATCCTCCTTCAGGTAGGAATCACCCTGCTTGTGCACTGGGAAGGCAAAACTTAAGCAAAGAGAGGAAGAAAATAACATAGCATTGGGATGGGTGTGATTAACAGTCTAGTTAGCACTACCCATTTCAAATGTCTCAGACCAAGTAGCTATCAGAAGGGCAATAAGAAAGTGATGTCCCACAGGAAGTTACGTCTTGGGGGAACTGGAACCTTAGTGATCAGCTAACCTCATGGTACAGAAGAACTGGAAACTCACCTTTTCTCCTCAAACGGAAGCTGAGAGTCTCCTTTCCATCCTTAGTCTACCCCGAACAGGAGAGGGCTCACTGCCACAGACTGTGCGCATCCTCCTAAGGCTGCTTCCCATTGCTAGTCACTGCTCAGCCTGGCCCAAGTATCTGCCAAGGCTGGAAACAAGAACCAAACTACTTCAACTACTGCTTTTACTGGAAAGTCAGCGACTCCCTCAACTGGGACATTTACAGGAATAGCACAGAAGGGATTAACAGACTCTAGCAAAAGTGGAATATTCGTAGTCCACAACAGTGTGACAGGAGCCTGGCACTAGCCAGAGACAGTAACTTCACCTTCCTTTTATGAACTTTGCAATTTAAAATTTGGTAATAAAATAGCATGGGGTGGTGAGATTATTTTTAAGTTCACTATAGCAAAGTTTCCCCAAAAAGCAGGAATCTGCTGGCTAGAAAGAAACTATCTCGATTGCCAAGTCAAAAAAACGAGCGTTAGCTTGGTATAGTTGTTTGAAACATTTTCACAGAGACTACCTCTTCTCTCTGACACTGCAGTGCTCCAACTTGACACTGAAAAGCTAAGGTTTCAAGCAAAAGAAAACATTTAAAAGTTCAAGCTACTGAAGACAAACCTAAAGATATCACTCTTCAACATAATAAAAATGCACAAATTTAGTACCCTGGCTTGACGTCTAAAGCAATTACATTCCTCCTTGCCCATCATCCAAATTGCTTTTTATATATAAAAGTGCTCTTCATTCTACCTTCTGGGTTAAGTTACTCTGAACTATTTTGCAGAGCCAACCACAAAACCTAAGAGCATAAATCAGTGGACTTGCTGAAGTCACTCATACCAATGCTGAAGCATTTACCAGCATCTTAAAGCAAGTCAGCTACGGCTGAGCAGGGGTAATTTCGTACCAGAAAGCTGTAGTGAAACTTAGGGGGACTTCAAAATATATCAACAATTTTCCAACCAGAATTTATAGCAATGAGCTGTGCCCTTTTTTTTTTTTTTTGGTAAAATTAACACTGACCATTAGTAATCATCAATTAAAAGCTCCTCACACCACACATGGCTATTCCTGCGCACCAGGAACGGCAGCCCTGACTCCAGCTACAAGTATCCAATTGCCAAGTATCGCAATTCTGCATCTCCTTCTGCATGCAGCACATGCACGAAAGATTTGGTTTATCTGCATTTAGTGTAATCGCACACTAATCGTCTAGACGTCTAAAGAACTTATTGTCACCGATCCTACAGCATGAAGGTATTAGCCATGTTAAGATGACTAATTTTCCTCCAAATCCAAATTACAAGTGTTTGCAGGCCAGTTTGGCTTAACCTGGTCTAACCTGCTACCCATACTATCACATTTCTGGAACAGCAAGACATCTTGAAATTCAAACAATCTGA